TGAGGGCTGCAGAGGCATGTGTCTCAAGAGCATCCCTGGCCACCATAAAATGCAGCAAGCTCAAGGAAGATGAGCTCAATTCTGCCGGGTCCTTTTTTTTTTCAAGACAGATGATACTGTGAAGATTCGCTTCCCCCCACCTGGCTTCCTGCTCTGACACTCTCAGGGAGAGAGACACGCAACTAGGTTATAATCACAGATGCAAATGAGAGATTCAACACAAGGACTGCAGTGACTGATGAGGTAAATACATCCTATGAGGCAATTCATGCATGATATGATATTACAGCATTTCTAATCCTGCTTTGTCTTCACACTCAACTAAGACCCTTCTTGAAATACCCAGTGCCACCTCAGTAGATTTGGGCTGTGCTTCCCAAGTCTGTATTTTGACAAGAGACCACCTTACCTCTGCTTAGCCGGTGTCTTCAGGAGACATTCTTCTTCAGGTTGAGTGCAAGCCCTACAGTCAGACTCTCTGGGGTTACTTTAGGGCTACTCTTCCTCTGGAAAACTATTCAATCCCTTTGAATGTCAGTGTTTCTACAGGTAAAATGAATGTGGATTGTTAATCCATATGAATCTATTCTTATCTCAAATGTTGAGACGATATATATAATTAAGGTAAAATTATGGCTTTTTTTTTTTTTTTTTTGGTACTGGGAATTGAACTCAGGACCTTGCATTTGGCAGGCAGGCTTATGTGCCGCTGGGCTATATCCCTGCCCCAAAATTTATAATGTTATACTCACTATCCTTATTCTTAAGATTATGCCCTGTGAGCCAGAACTGTGGACTGTCAAAATGCTTTAAATGATGCCATTGGGGCTTCAAGCTAGTTGACCTCATTGCTATAACTAAACTATTTAAAATTATATCCCATCTCTCTGCATCTGGTGCTCAGTATTCTGACACCAGAGACTCTTATTTTATGTTAAATCTTTCCCCTCAGCTGAGATCAACATTAGGATAATGTGCTAGCATATTACTCAGAAGGAGCATGTGGATATTATCAGAAAATCTGGAGCCCTATGCAACAAGGTGGTCCAGGAAAACCACCTAAAGAAGAAAGACTTACCCAGAAAGTCACGAGTCTTCTCCATAACTTGGTTTAAATCAGAAAAGTGGCGGTGAATGTAGACTGTTTTCATGGAACACCAGCACCAAAGAAGGACGTCCATTCTGTGGGGTGACAGGTCAGTCCACAGTGTGTAAACGATGAAGGTGTTGTGATTATCTCACACAGCTGAAGTACAGCAATTCCAAGAGCCTGGAACACTTTGCGAACAGTTATTTCCATGACTCTGCCGAGCTGGCTGCCACATGGCACTACGGACCTCAGCAGGAACACAGCACAGGGATAACTGTACAGGTCGGGGTGCTTGACACAGGTAGAGAACAGCCGGCGTTCAGGAAATGGACTTCAGCATCCGCAGTGTTCCTGGTCAGCTCCTTAAATTGCTCCTGAAGCCATCAGTCTTCCTCGCGCTGCTCTCATTTTCCTCTCTGACAGTCATGCTGATGCTGCTGCTCCCTGTCCCACCTGCTGATATGCAAGCTGCTGCCAAAGCTGCCTCTTGTTTCCTCCCTCTTGGATCCAGAAGCTCTGAGCCCTAATCCAACAGATCTGCCAAAATTTCATCCTCCACTGCTGCTGTTTCATCCCACACTGGGTCCCTGTCACCAGGAACACCCTCGGCCCAACAGGAAGTCACTTCCCATCTTCAATACACAGCTGAAATTTCTCCTCACACAGAGAATTCTCTTACCTCTGTGCACCTTTTGGAAGACGTTCAGGATAAAGAAGTTTTCCCAAATTTGAATACAATAAAAAGTATATGTGTTTCCCTCCAGCTCACTGGGTTCAGAAGTGAAGTCCTCTTCATCGCTGAATCTTTATGGAAATTGGACTCTGAACAAATCACAAATGAGTAAGCAAAAAAAAAGTGAGGGGGAAAATACGACACTAATTCCCAAATCTGTAACTAGTAACACAAGAATATGTAAATGTGGAATTCACCTGGTTAAGTACGCTAGACAAATCTAACAGAAAGCTACATGGTCTTATGGAAATACATAATCTCAAATGACCATTGAAAATAGAAGAAAAAATGTGAGATCATTTCTATTATTGCAGAAATAATGTGCAGTAAAGTGCCGTGGCTGTTTATAGTGTGTGTGTGTATGTGTGTGTGTGTGTGTGTGTGTGTGTGTGTCTGGAAGATATATCAAATGAGATTTCCAGTCATAATTGCTATATCAAGTGACCTATATATTACCGCATTAACATGGCCAAGTTACAACCTCAGCTAACTTCATTCCCTTATTTACATGAGGTAGATACTGTAAATTGGTGCTTCTCAACCTGGCCTAATTGCAGTGTAAGCATCATCTAGAGTGTACTAGTGAACAAGTCTGAAAAGAGAGATATGTATCTTTATTTTTAACAAATGTTGCGGGTATTTTTTCATCAGGCAGCTTTAGAAACATTCAGAACAAGGGATTCAGGAGGCTCAGGGAACTCTATGGATCAAATGTCCCATCACCTACTTCTCTGAAGCAGAAAGCACACAAATATTCAATTTCTTGCTTAAATATTAATCATCTGTCTCTTCAAGGTACAAGAGAGGCAGTCTTGGACATTCAAAATATTTAAGAAAAAACATAATTCCTCTTCTGAAAAATAAACTGTATATGAAGGAAGTGTGACATTTGTTCATAGTTGTGTTCTAAAGCAAACTGCAACCTGCCTGAACACAAGAAAAGAGAGACACAGAAGTGAAAGCCAACGGGAAGAACCACTTGAGAGGGGACTTTGAACATGGGTAATACTACTTGATTAAAGTAAAACTGAATTCTTGTCCCCCACAAAATTTTTTTAAACGTATGGCTCCAATCCATGAACCACCCACCATCCTTCCCCGATGACGTTTATGCACAATCCCAAATTTCTTATGCTTGATGTCACTTCTTAATGGCACGTTAGTGAGACAGGTGAACCTGCAGGAAACCTGAAGGCAACAATTCTGACATTTATGCAAAGTAACATTTCAGTTATGCCTAACATAGCCAGTGCCTAAGAACTGCTGGCCTGGCAATGTTCTACACTCACTGCATCCACCAACTTTTCAATCTGCAACTCATTTTTGTGGGACTGATACATTTAAGCCCAATTTTACAAGGGAAAGAGGAGAGATGGAGAAGGATGGCTCAAGTTGCCCATGGTCAGCAGATGGCCCTTGTGGTCATTTGGTAAACAGAACTACCAGCTCTCTTTTCTTTTGGTACCTGGAATAAAACTCAGGACCTTTCACTTGCCAGGCGGGCGCTTGTGCCACTGAGCTACATCCCTGACCCTGAGAGGTAAAATCTTTGACACTAAGCTTATGAGGCTGTGCTTTGCACTGATGCATAATGCTACCTCTGCTCCTAGACTTCATAATTCCGAGAAAAGATTTCTTAACAAAAGAGATCTTTTTGTTGGTTTGGTTTGGTTTGGTTTGGTTTGGTTTGGTTTGCTTTGCTTTGCTTTGCTTTGCTTTGCTTTGCTTTGCTTTGCTTTGCTTTGCTTTGCTTTGGTTTTGTCTCACTATGTAATCCAGGCTGGCTGTGAACTTACTACATACCTAAGACTGGCCTCCAAATTGTAGTGATCCTGGGGCTGGGGATTTAGCTTAGTGGCAAAAGCACCTGCCTGGCAAGCACAAGGTCGTGAGTTCGATTCCTGGTACCGGAAGAAAAACAAAAACAAAAAAAAATTGTAGTGATCTTCCTGCCTTAGCCTACCAACTGCTGGAATTGCAGGCATGCACCACCATGCCTGGCATTCAAATGAAATTTCTATGCTTAAATTAAATCACCTTTTGCAAGCATTACCCTAACAATTTCCTCCATGGTAACCTTGTCTATTCCACTGTGTTATCAGTTTATATCTCAAATTACTTCTATTGCACATTTCCACTTCATGTAGCACAGGGTGAAGAAAAAAATTGACACATTTTCTCTGTACAATGGAAAAGATAAGAAGAGACCACACTGAATTCTGAAAATGCTTTTCTCCTTTCAGGTTATCGAGTTTTGTACCTTTTGTCTTCAAGAAAATATTTATTTTCCATGATGCCTCACAAGTCTAAATGAAAATAATGACTTTTCAAAATACAAAGTGACGATGCTCCTTCTGTTGAATTCACATCTACAAAGGAACTCAAAGTGGTGAGTTGATTATTTAAGAAATTCTTATGGTAAGTTTTCATCCAATTGTTTGCCCTTTTGTTGAGAAAACATTGGAATATATGTCTGTTCATTACTAGTTATGACCAAGTCTACAGCTTATAACATAGGTAAGTTTACTAAGCAATCCATAAGAGAAAACAAATGCAAATCTTGTAATGTTGTGAAATGATTCATTATGCTGAAGACACCACAAGAAAAGAAGCTGGTATAAAAGCGCCTGCCTGGCAAGCGCAAGGTCGTGAGTTCGGTTCCCGGTACCGGAGGAAAAAAAAAAAAAGAAAAGAAGCTGGTATAAGTATATTCCAAGGTGTCCAGGGAGTGAAGGAGTAGATGAGATGCATAGTTATATGTTATTTGATGTTATAATATTCTTCTCTACCTGAACAAATGATTATTCTTGTCTATCTTTATTGTATGTTTGCAGTGCATACAGTGGTGTTTGTTTGGGTTGCTTGGTGCACATGTATAACCATCATTGCGCTTCCTGTCATCTCCTCTTTACTTTACTCAATTGTTTGTATCTTAGGTTTCTCATATAATAATATTTTCCTTTCTCTGTCTGACTTATTTCATTTAACATCATAGTCTCAAGATCCATCATTTCCCTGCAGATGACATGATTTCACTCCTCTTTTGCCTAATTAACATTTCACACGCTCTTCACTCACGTGTCCATGGGTGGGTGTCCAGGCTGGGTGCAGAGCTTAGCAGCTGTGAGCTGTGCTCAGCTCTAGGGCAGGACGTGCTAAGTGCTAGGGTGATTTGCTAATGATTGTAGCATGATGTCTTTAAATCTTTCGGGAATGTACCAGCACAGATACAGCTGGCTCAAGTGGAATTTTTACTTTCAGCTTTAGGGAATCTCCACACTGATTTCTATAATGGTTACTGATTTATATTCCCACCAGTGATGTAGAGGGCTTCCTTTTCCTCCACATCCGTGTCATCATTTGCTATTATTTATTTTTTGATGATGCTCATTCTGACCAGAGCATGAGACAACCCCAGAGTTGTTCTGATTTGCATTTCGCTACTTCCCAAAGATACTGAACATTTTATCAGTGCATTTATTGGCCTTTTGTACTTCTTTTGAGAAGCATTAATTCAGTTCATTTGCCCTTTTTTTTTACATTGGGTCATTTGATTTGGTCAGTTAATAATTTTAATTCTTTATAGATTTCAGATACTCGTCCTCTACCAGAATAGCACTGTGAAACATTTTCCTCATGCTCTAGGTTGTCTCTTCGCTCTGCTGACTGTCTCCTTTGCTGTACAGGAACCATGTAATGTGCTCAGCCATGGCCATGGGGAGAGACAATGAGACGATCACCACAGACTTCATCCTCCTGGGACTCTGGCCTGAATCCCGCCACCTCGTCATCCTCATCTGCCTCATCCTTCTCGTTTACTTTCTGGCTGTCATGGGCAATGCTGTCCTCATTCTCCTCATCTGGCTGGATTCCCGACTCCACACCCCCATGTATTTCCTGCTCAGCCAGCTGTCCTTCATCGACTTCACTTTGATCTCAACTACTGTCCCCAAGATGGCCACAAACTTCTTCTCAGGGAGGAGAACCATATCACAGGTTGGCTGTGGAGCCCAGATCTTTATTAGTCTAACCCTAGGAATTGCTGAGTGCCTCCTGCTGACCTTCATGGCCTATGACCGCTACATCGCCATCTGTAACCCCCTGAGGTACTCCGTCATCATGAACCCCGGCCTCTGCACACAGATGGTCATAGTGTCCTGGGCAGGAGGAGGAGTCACCTCCCTGGTTCATACGGCCTATGCCATGCACTTCCCCATCTGTCGCCCCAGAGTAATCCCACACTTTCTCTGTGAGGTCGTGGCTCTGTTAAAGCTGACGTGTGAGGACATTTCCTCGTACATGAAGTCAGTGGTGGTGTCCAGCTTCCTGGTGGTTCTCATTCCCCTGAGTCTCATCCTGGCCTCCTACACCCTCATCTTCCTTGCTGTCCTCCGCATGAGCTCTCCTGAGGGCAGGAGCAAGGCTCTAGCCACATGTTCTGCCCACCTTGGTGTGGTCACACTCTACTTCAGCCCCGCCATATTGGTTTACATGAGGCCCGGCTCCTCAAAGACACCCAAATTAAACCAGTCTCTCTTCATGTTTAACGCCATCCTTACCCCCATGCTTAATCCTCTCATTTATAGCCTCAGAAACAAGGACGTCATAGCAGCTTTAAAGAATATAATCTTCAGTAGATGCCCCCTACAAAAGATGAAACACCATTGGGGAAGCTATAGCTGATTACAATTTTACATTGGCATATTTCTTTCAGTTACTTTTAAGAGATTTAGGACTTGACAAGCTCTATCATCACATTTATAGATATGCTACTAAAAGGAAAAACTGCACAAGGAAAAATTGTTCTTTTTAAAACTTTGTGCCCTTTGAAGATGCCTAGCTCTGTAACGGTTTCATGCCTCTGTAACTGCTTCCCTGACCCCTGTAACCACAAGAGCATAACCAAACATTCAGGGTGCTTGACTGTATCAAGCTTTGTGGTCATTAATCTAGTCTGGTAACCAATGGTCATTAATCCAGCCCTCTAACCAATGATCTCACCCTGCTAGCTAATCAGAACTGCTAGGCTTTCCTGTCCCACCTTTGGAACCCCTGCTTATGCCTCATATAACAATGCTGGCTCACACACACTCACCACCTGGCTTTTGTTGGAAATTACTTCAGCCAGGACCAGCAGTGTAAAATGAAGCTGTTCACCATCTTCTGAATTCCGCAGTGTCATTCCTTTCCCAGACTCAGTTTTACTGCAACATTCTAAGCTATCTACTTCAATGATCTTTTGTGTCACTAAAACTAAAGGGTAAAATAAACTGTCCTTCAGCTCAAAGCACCATCAAGAGGACCACATCTTCTGGCCTAAAATTATAATTACTACTCTTCTCTAATTAACACACATCACCATTTCACTCCAATATGCCTGAGACACAAATACACTCATCTGCCTAAGCCTGCTTGAGAAGGGAAAGGTTTAATCTTCTCCTCAGAACAAAAGAAGTCACACTGTTGGGTGGGCTCAGGAAGTCCAACTTGCAAAGTGGGAGTCTGAACTGACAGGATGCTACATCATCTGTTTTGCCTTCAATTGTTGAAAGGTCAGCTAACAAAATCACACACCCACAACTCGAGTCATTCTGCTTCATGAGGAAAAAGAGTAAAACTTCCACTTTCTTGGGCCCAACAAGTAATTTTTCTTTGTGTTTCTTGTCAGTTTATACCATTCTTGCACCTCTAATAAGACAATGTGATCTTTCCTTGACAATGTGAATGAACAGCCCGCACCTGCTAGCATTGCTATGGGGATTCAATCAGATGAAGTGTGCGAATCCTCCAAGTCAAGGTCATACGGGTCATGCATTTGTTGGGGCTGGGGATTTAGCTCAGCGGCAAAAGCGCCTGCCTGGCATTTAGAATAAGGCTATGGACGTAAGACAATGCAGCTTCCTAAGGCCTTCTAGGCATGAAAAATAAGGGCTTATCTTACGTGCAATAAAAATGAACCATAATTATTTTAGGCTGAGTGCCTCAGAGTTGGAAGTTAAAATCAGGTTGGTCAAGGATGAGACAAAGCATACACACACTCCTCTAGAATATAGACTAAATCTCCATTTTTATCTAAAATGTCAGAACATAAAGTAGGTACTGTCCTAATGAAAATGTAGCAGTCAGATTTGAAGATTGTGCTGTGTTTTGGATCTGAAGTGTTTCTGAAAAGCTCATGTGCTGAGGGCTTAGTCCACAGTGCAGCAAAGTTGAGGGATGTGGCCTTCAAGAGGTGATTGGGTCATGCGGGCCATGACATCATCAAAGGATTGACCCACTGGTGCATTCAGAGCTTCATGGGCTACTGGGCAGTGCTGGGCACTTTAGGAGGCATCTGGAGTGGGACATTCTCTCCCTCACTCCTGTCTCTGCCCCCTTGTTGGGCAACATGAGATGCTCACAGCTCCCCTGTTCCCCACTCAGACATTCTATAACCAGGAACCGAGCAGCCAGGGACAGAAACCTCAAATCCTTAAGGAAAAATAAATCTTTTCTGCTTCAAATTGACTTTTCTCGGGTTTTTCACAGCCACAGAATGGTAATACGCACTGTAACTATTACAGAGAACAGTACAGCACCAGCAAAGTCAGCCTCGGGCTTGCACCTACAGTCACTTAATGGAAAATGTGTGATACTCACTGTGACACGCCATTCAGCTGAGGCCAAGGAAGGACACTGCCCGGGGGACCTCTGTGGATGAACCCAGCACAGAGCCCAGCGGGATGCAGGGCTCCACTGACCGCTGCTGCTCCTCTCTATGGAGAACCACCTTCAAAAACCTGTCACACATCCCACCCCAAGGATAGATTTGGCTTCTTGGTATGAAGTCTGTGTTTGGTTGATGGCTTTGATTTAGTGAATTTACCGTCATTGACTTTCAGTGTTTTAGAAACAGACCAACTTTGTTGCCCTTGCTTAGTACTCCTCATGTAATTTCATGTTCTGTTGTTTGTCACGACTTGTCACCTGAAGGCCAGTTGACTCGATATGATCACCATGGTACATGTGTCAGGAACAGTGCAGCTGGCTTTGCAATTGACAGATCATCTGTGTCTTCATCTGAGTGACAGTGGTCTTTGCAAATCAACAAGCGCAGGTACCTCGCTAGAGAATTTTCAGATGCCCTCGTGATGAGACAGTTTTTAATGAAATGTTTTATTGTGTATCTTCAAACGGAATAAAACATAATATTTGGACATCTTTGTGCAGTACATTATGACAGTTTCATGCTTGTTCGCAATGTGTAGTGATCAAGTTAAGGAATTAAGCACTTTCATCTTTTCAACAGTTCACCTTTGTTGGGACTGGGGATTTAGCTCAGCGGCAAAAGCGCCTGCCTGGCAAGCGCAAGGTCATGAGTTCGGTTCCCGGTACTGGAGAAAAACAAAAAAAACAAAACAGTTCACCCTTGTTAAGTGTTGGAAATGTCACACCTTTTAGTTCTTTTGAAATGCCTCATAGGGCTGGGGATTTAGCTCAGTGGCAAAGCGCCTGCCTGGCAAGCACAAGTCATGAGTTCGGTTCCTGGTACC